AGTGTAATTTTGCCTTTTTTTATAAATACTTTATTAATAAAATAATTAAATTAAAATTTTTAATAAACAAATCATTTATACAAAATTTTAACTAATTACTTTACTTAATAATTTTTAAAATTTTTATTTCATTAATTTCATTGTTAAATTGCATAATAGTACCTTTTTTAATATCATGCACATTAAATTTTAGAGATAAATTAAATATTAAAAAATATATAATTCTATTATTGATAGTTGCTCATGTTTTTAAATATTTTATACATTCAAATAAAGTTATTTTATAAAGTATTAATTTTTAAAAAAATAAAACTTAATAAACTTAATCTACTTATTAAAAATTCTTAAATCAATAAATTAATAAAAATTGATATTTATAAAAAAAATTATCAAACATAATAAGTTAATCAATACTTATTGTTAGAGTAAATGGATCTTTTTCTTTAAAATATTAGTAAATATCATCCTTATATCTATCTATTCATCTGTACATGAGAACTTATTTAGTGAGAAAATATTTTTACGTAAGAATGAGAAAAATAAAATTTGATAATTAATTTTTTTATAAATAATTATAATTAAAATATATGAAAGTCGTGTAAGTTTTTAAAGTGATCATACAACTTTCGAAATCTTATAACTAGAACCATTTGTATATGATTTATATGATCTTGATTTAAATTTTCAGGGTTTAGGGTTATAACATACACATATTAATAATTATATAACACATTTGTTAAAAGATAAATATTTATAAGGATGTAATTTTACATTTAATTAGTTTATATTATACAAATATATTTAAATTACTATGAAATTAATTAGTGAAGCATTAAATAATGTTTAAGATATATAAAATATAAAAAATATAATTTATTTTGTGATTTTTTTAACAAATAGATTGATGAAATATAGATGGAGAAAAAATTGGAGAAAATTAAGTTTGCAATAGTAGATGTCGGATTAACCTTACTTTATTGCTGCAGTGATGAATTATTTTAGGGTAAATGGAGTTGGCACAGCGTAAGAATGGTTAGATATTATCAGTGGTGAGTGTTTCTCTGCACTCTCTGCTCCATGAACACCCAGATTCCAACTGTCGAAACTAAAGAGGCACTTAGCCAATCCCCGCACAGAGAGCTTCAGATGCTCACCAAATTGTTGTCAAACGTCATTGCCAACTAGGATACATATATATTATATTATATCCCTGTGTCTGCATATCAGTAGCATGATAATGCTACTGCTCATTAATAATTGGATCCTAGATATAGCTATATCTTTTTGCCTAATTAAATTAATTAATTGCCCTCCAATTCATGCTCATAAAATTAACCAACTACTGTATATATCATCCATTAGTTCATTTTTACTTTTCTACTCCACTGATTACAAGGAATAATTAATGAGAGATCATACACACAACTTTGGTTAATTCAACTTAAATTTCCTGCGAATTCACCTAATTTAAATACGAACTGTCAGAATGGAAGGGTAAAGAAAATGTTCTTAGCAAATTTTGTGAATTACGCCGTATGTTTTATGGCAGTTATTATAGTAATTAGATATAACTAATATAGTTGAAGAATGGTTTGACGTAGAGGTGTTGGAGGGGCAAAAAGATATTTTAGTTGTGAATTATGGTGACAAGAAAGAACAAGATAGTGGAATCCGAGTCCTCTGTGAAGTGTGAATGACAGCAACCTCCAAACACAAAAAATACCGATTAGTTGCTCTAGCTGGTGTCACCATCCCCATGAATCCTTCTTAATCTCTCCTCCCCGCATATAAATGTTTATAATATGTCTGTTCATTTGATTAAACTTTGGGTTAAACTCTTTTCATATACAAGTCTTGTGGTTGGACCAGAGTGGGACCAAACATGCATTGACTGGGTTGAAATTGTTGCGTCTCAAGCTAGCTTCTCCAATTAATTAGGAAATTACAGTTTGGTGCCACTGGATATATGCACTGTGAGAAATGATGGAAGTTAATATATAATTACTAGTTATATAAATGGTTAAAATTATATTCAAATAAAAATATTTTTTATGATTAAAATTAACTCCTAGCTTTTTTCTTTCTTATATTAATTATCATTTCATAAGCTACAGTTATACGAGATAAATAGATTTTGCGGAGGGTAAGCTGTCTTATTCAACATGACACACATAAGTAGCAAGGCACGTATGCGGTAATTAGAAAAGGGAGCAATAGTTTTAATATCTATCTGGTCCACTTCTCTGCTTACAACGCAGGTCTGCGAAGCCCTCGTGGACAGGACACAAGTCGTACATTTTAGTCCATCGTTTTACGTAATTCCATTATCCGTTTCGATTTCACACTAATATTTCTTTTATTCTTGGATATGGAGCTAATTACTAATTATTATATTTACTTGATGAGCTAACATTTTTCAAACAAGAATTTAGTGTTAATTAAATGATAAATATGATTAACATTAATAATTAAGCATCGTTAGCTACCCAGTTGAATATTTTATGCACTTATAAATAATAAGGGGTAAAAATAATATAATTAGCCGTTTCCTGCGTCACCCTAGTTACCATTATTGTTTCATGTACACGGTTAACTTTTGAATATCTTTTTTAAACTGTTATTTTATTTTGGTAACAAATACTTGTTTTAAATAGGACCAGACGCAATGAACGATGAGAAAATGTTACTGACAAAATATATAAAAATTTGAATTGAATTAACTTGAACGCAACAATTCGACCGTACACGAGAACTATTTTCTTAAAAGTGTAAAAAACTATTAGGATAGAAATGAGCTTTCTCTTTCTAGACAACAAAATTGTAGTGCGTGTGTGTGTGTTTTTATTTAGGGCATGCATTTTCTTTGATGTAAGTTAAAACATGTTATATGTTTGATTTTGACTATCAAATTTTACTATTGAGTTTAGAGTCGTTATCAAGGATTGAAGAGAGCGTTTAAAATTTTGTCAACTTGTCGGTACGTTAGTCTTTGCCTTTCTTGGCATGTAATTTCGCGACAAGAGCTTTTACATATGTGGTGTAAAAAGCTGAGGAATCTCACGTGGGCGCTGTGTATTTGTGTCCTAAAATTTTTACGAATTAAGTTGCGCATTTATTTGAATTTTCAGTTTCTTAGAAGAGAGAGAAAGTAGGTAGGAGGTCGAGTTTCTGTATTTTGAAAGAGGCCATAATAAGCATGTTATTATATATTTGTTATGTCTAACAAAGTTGCAAAGCGCTGCAATTAGCTTTTAATATATTAATAGGGTGCTTCAATGCTTATAATATTTTAATCGATTAGACGCTCTGGGTCAAAGAAAGTGGATTGCAAATGACAAATTACAGTCATGAAAAGTAAAATGAACACATCGGTTAAATGGATTTTGCGTTGAATTGTCATGCTTTACTTTTGCAGCAATATCACAATAAATTACTTGATAAATATATGCAATGCATTTTCTGTAATGTATTTTCAGTAAGGGAAGTGTTGTTTGTCGTTATCCACAAGGTGCCCTTGCATGTGATAATAACTGATCTAGCAACTTCACAATTTAAGACTAACTAAACTACAGTTCAAAATTTTACTCACCCTTCAAAATTCAAAGTAATGAAAAAACAAACAAACATTTGATTGCATGTAGTAGCTAGCTAGAAGAATAACCGCGAAGAAACTAAAATGGGAAAAGGAAAAACTTAGATATATTCCCGGGGAGAAGGGTGAGAAATCAAGATTCACTGTCGTGTTCAATATATACGTGTAAGCCTCATTTGTTTCACATACATGTCACAGAGTCGAAGTGTGACTTAGTTTTATTTTCTTTTTCTTTTTCCCGAGCTAGTCTAGTGATACTAGTTCTATATCAAGAAACTAACTAGCTAGAGGCGAATCATAAATGCAAAGAAAACGAAATTGGGTTCTCTAGAGTTTGGTCACATGAGCAGAAAAGGAACAGTGTCAGCCTCAACCTCAAGAGAAGGAAACCCCCCAACTTACGAGTCCTAACCAATAGAAATGTTGAAATAGACCTCCCATATAAACAACATAGCGACTGCTTGTTCTCTCTGAAACTTTACAAGGATTTAGATCCATTTCCATGTGCCTCTTGTGGTCCTAAGGCTAAAGAAGATAACCCGCAATAGCATATGTTGAGTGCCTACAAAATTCCTCATGTATATATGTTGTCCTTTTCCCTGAAATCCTTGAAAGATGCTAAGCATATATTGTGGTGCTATATATTTGTGTTTGATTGGATTAGAAGTTAAATTGAGAAAGGAATTGATTGAGAGGAATGCGCATGTAATCTCAATGCAACTAAACATGCCTATTAAGGCATTTGATGATAGACAACTAAACATACCTATAAGGCAAAAGTGATGAACGTGAAGCTAATTTTGGATAATCCATGGGATGGTCCAAAAGGAGTAGTCATGGCTAGGGGCCAAGGGTGTTTGTAAGCATTAGAATGATAAGAGTTAATGATGGGAAGAGGTAGCAATTGATGTGAAACTAAGGGAAACAAAACTAATTAGGGGCATAGGAAAGTTGAAAGGGCGATTGAGTTGAGGAATCCCAAAGTTCCCCAGCAAAGGTGCAGAACAAAAGGCAAAGGCCAAAGGCAAAACGAAATGATTACTTGAATGAGACGGGACCCGCTCGATAATATTTCCTTTCCAGGTCTTTCAATTTTTTGACTTGGGATCGGTCCCACATCGGCCACCATTGTCTTTATGGATTGAATGATAAAAAGAGCACCTCACGTGGAGTCTGAACCAAAGACGCTGTCCAACCACAATAAAAGGGAACTCACCCCTCCCTTCCCTTCCATCACACAATTTTTCAAAACCCACAAATCTCTGATTTTTCCACTTCCCCTTCAAGACCTTTCCATCTAACTCCAACAATTTAAATCAAAAATAAAAATAAAAATAAAAATAAAATTAAAATCAGTACAAATTCACTTATAATTAAAAAGCTAGCTCATCAACACAACAACAAAGCAATTTCTTTTCTGAAAAAAATCATGCTTTTTAAAGCTCACCCATATAATTCCCACTCATTATCTTTGTTGCTTAAAGCTCTTGCCCTCCCAGCTCTCCCTTATCCCCCCACTCTCTCTCTCTCTCTCTCTCCTAAACCCCATCAATTTCAAAGCAAATTCCTCTCCTTACACCAAGAAATAAAACAAAATAACTAAACACACACATATCCTCCCCTAAATATAGTCACTGATGAGAAAGACCCACCACACAGATTAAACTACAAACTCACTGATCACAACCTCTCTCATAAAAAAAAAAACGATCACAAACACACACACAATCATACGAACACAGCAACACACACACACACTCATGCGATCATGGAGGGAGGCGATGACTTCCACCACCATCACCACCGCCAGAACTTCCCATTCCAGCTCCTCGAGAAGAAAGAAGACCAAGAAGCAGCGTCATGCTCCACCTCCTCCCCATACCCTTCTCTAGCAATCTCCGCAGAACCAACCACATCCAATTCAACCCGATCCAACCAGCTCGTGCCGGTGCCGCCAGCCGAACCTGCCATCAAAAAGCCACCGCCCAAACGAACCTCCACCAAGGACCGCCACACCAAGGTCGACGGCCGTGGCCGCCGCATCCGAATGCCGGCGCTCTGCGCCGCCCGAGTCTTCCAACTCACCCGCGAACTCGGACACAAGTCCGACGGCGAAACCATCGAGTGGCTCCTCCAACAGGCAGAGCCCGCCGTCATCGCCGCCACGGGCACGGGAACCATCCCCGCGAACTTCACCTCCCTCAACATCTCCCTCCGAAGCTCTGGGTCCTCCATGTCCGTGCCATCTCAGCTACGATCCTCCTACTTCAACCCCAACTTCTCCGTTCAACAACGCAGAACCTTGTTCCCGGGAATCGGCTTGTCCTCGGAGAGCAACACCAACACCTCCACCACTCTCCTCAATTTCCAATCCAACAACCTCACCGCCACCATGTTGCAGGCCAAGCAAGAACTCCGCGACGGTGCTCCCTCTTCCTCCACGTTGGATTTGTCGGAGACAAGCGCCGAAGAAGGTTTGGGAAGAAAAAGAAGACCCGTGGAACAAGACTTGTCCTCCACGCAGCATCAAATGGGTAGTTATCTGCTGCAGTCGAGTGCAGGGGCTATTCCGACGTGTCACGCTCAGATTCCGGCGAATATATGGATGGTAGCAAATTCCTCTAATAACCAAGTTATGAGCGGTGATCCTATATGGACCTTCCCACAGGTTAATAATAGTGCTTTGTATAGAGGCACAGTTTCTAGTGGGTTGCATTTTATGAACTTTCCCACCCCCATGGCGTTGTTGCCTAGTCAGCAACTTGGGTCTTCTGGGATTGGTGGTGTTGGGGGAAGTAGTGGAGTTGGAAATATCAATATGAATGAAGGGCATTTGAGTATGCTTGCTGGGCTTAGCCCTTATCGTCCTGTTATAGGAGTTTCCGAGTCTCAGGCAAGTGGGTCACAATCACATCGTGGTGGTGGAAGTGATGATCGACATGATAGTACCAGTCACCACTCTTAGAGGATCCATCATCACCATAACTTCTTATTCTTCTTCTTCCTCTTGTGTAGTAGTTTGATGATGATGTGTTTAACACACGTGAGGTTTGGTTGATCTTCGAAATTGAGTTTTATTTATTCCCAAAATTAATTTTTTCGTGTGATTAATATTTTGGAGGGGAGGGGGATCCGAGAGAAGGGAAGAGGGTTTTTTAGGGTTTGGGAGATGACACTATTGGGTATTTGGCTGCCTGCTTCTCTTTTTTTTTTTGGTAAAAAAATGTCTTCTTTGAGTTATTATTTCACTACACGATATCTTATCATCATTGTTTGTGCAATTTTCTTTCTTTTATTTTCAAGTTTTTTCCTCCTCATATATATAGTCTTTTAATTGCTTTGTAATTTTATGCTTTTTATGTTAAAGAGAAGAAAACGACTCACTTCCATTCCATGAGCTCCGCTAAGTTTCCTACCTAACAGGCATTTGGGTTTTTATTTATTTATATTTTTCTTCATCTCTCTCTCTCTCTCTCTCTCTCTCTCTCTTTCTGGGCCACTGAGCTCGTGTGGTAAAAGGGATGAAACAGTGTTACCGCAAGACTAATGTAAAATATAGTGGTGGTATTAAATTTACATTGCTTTTTGATCATTCTGATTCTAAATCTCTGCCATGAATCTCGAGGTTTACTGCATCAATGATTAAGATTTTTGAGAGAGATGGGGGTAATAGGACGGTGGGGTCAAAACCTTATCGGTTCCAGGTGTTGGCTCAGGTGGTGGGGTCAGGCTGCTGGTTATTGCCCAAACCAATGTACAATGTCACTGACAAACAGGTGGATCATTCTCCATCTTCTGTTTTCTTTTTTAATTTTCTTTCAGCCCTTTTAATGGAGCAGTTGCTGGCATCACAGAAAGATCCATGGTGAGTCTTAATGACCCTACTGGGATATGCCCCACCATTCCATTAATCAGGACCGTTCATTTCATGGGCCATGCTCCTATTCAATGCATGATTGGGTCTCTACTCACCAAAGGCAAAACGTGGAATCTCATGTTTCATGCCCTTCCCTTCCTCTTCTTGTTAATTAGTGACACTCTCCTTTCAAAACCATTTCAACTACGCTGTTGCCAAATGCCATATGGGTCTTCCTCCTCCCTCTGCAGGCTTTGCCCTAATATATATGGAGAAGGATTTTTTTAGGAGGTTATTTATTGGATGTTTATATATAACATTAAATATGCTTTTTAAATTATTTAAATTACTTTAAAAGACAACTGTACTCAATCATTTTTATATATTTTATAAAATAAATATATTTTTCTAGACAAATTTTTTGCTTTTAACATTTTATCATATGTTTATGATCGCATTCTTTTTTAAATTTTCTTAATATTATTTATTATTGTGTTTTTGGAATCTGATAATATACCATCACTAAAATGATAAGTAACATCTATGTTGATGGGATAAAAATTAGTAGGGAAGCGGAAAGCAGGATTAGGATATTCCCTCCACTATGAATTTTGTTCTGCACAATAGGATTCGAAGCTAACTTTTTTTATGGAGATCATGTCAATAACACGAGTGTAAAGTAGCCATGGAATCATATATATGCTTCTTAAATCAGAGAAGCCCTCATATGATTGATATGTTAATATAATTTGTTACTTGAGGAGAATGGTCAATGGAATAAGGTACCTTGGTGAGGTTCCAATTACGGGCACAAAACAGTAAGTTGATAATGACACTGGAAAGATGGTTCCCACCTAGCACTAGATAGAGTTGTAAAAACAAATCATGAATCAGATCTGAATAAGCTAGCGTTTCTCGTACTACCACTTAGCCATAGAAGAAGTATAACCAAGTCTGATGATATATAAAGCCTTGTATATATCTTCATATATTTTGAGAATGGAGATGAAGTATTTCTACATTGTCCAATTCTATATTCTATATATAAAAGAAAATCGATGATATACAATTAGCTGTAGAATTTTATGATGCGTGCGCAGTGCTTTGGGACGTAACTAATATGTTGTATTAAACGAACAAGCTGAAAGATTGCTGTTTCTTTCAGTTAAGACATCATGCACTTACAGCTTCAATAATATTCCTTTGTTAAATTTCAATCATCATCTAAAGTTAGAAGAGGGTCCTTCTTTGTTGGCCATGCTTCGCAGTTTGCTGTGGCGAATGGATAAGCCCACATATATCGATAGGGTTTTCTGTCTTTTGATGTAATGATCATAAAATGCACCATGTCTAATAAAATTTATCTTTGTAATTCTTGCATAAACGTAATAGGCTAAATACATATAGACATAATTAATAAAAATTTAAGATAGTAATTAAATAATTTCAAAAAAAAATTCGTTCTTCTTGTGATGAAATTAGTTGTGTATGAATTTTTTACACCATTTTCTTTACATTTTTTACACCCATTAAAAAAATTATGCTTATTTTCTCTCTCTTTTATCTTCTTATCAAGTTATTTGACACTTGCAAGAAATATAAATATAAAGTTAGCGTCAACTAGATATTTCTCTTATTATGGTAGCTTGTACAAGTGTTTAATTATGAAAGAAAAATGGGACAATATGTACTAGTCTGTTTGGCGGGAAAGATTAAAGCGTATGATTAACTAGAATTAGTAATTACTATGCTATTATTTTAATATCAATACATTTTTCAAATCTCTACATTATTTGGTTGGATATTTAGGTTTTTCATTTTTATAGAATGAAAATTGACAATTCTCTGGCGTCGATATCAATTTCTTTTTTCTGAAAATATCTATATGAGGTCTTGGTTTTACGTCTGACACATTGATTTTTGACAATTCAAACATTTTAAATATAAAAAGGTACCAAATTAATATTTATCAACATTAATATTAAAAGGAATAAAAAAGATAAAAGGATATGCCTATTGAATAATCAATGTTTTAAAAGTATATATTAGAGCGTGACATGTTTTAATTTATCATTGTTATGTAAGATAATTACATGTTTGATTAGTCACGAATATTATTTTCGAACACATTAGGTAAATGTATAAATTAAGATGGTGCCTTAGCTTCACTATGAAGTGGGAAAAAAATACGGCCTGGGTCGTACCCATACATGGTTGGTCACATGGATCTGAATCTGATAAATGACACCGTACATAGCTACAGGATTGGTCCCCCTAAGTAAATCTTACATCCCAAAAAAATATATAGCATGAGTTAGACCATATAGGCCACCAATTTCTGTAAAGGGTGAACAAGTCGGCTAGATTTTGGGCACAAAAGTGGCTGCAAACTTACCTGCTAAGAAGCAACAGATTCTATATATTTGGCCCATAATATCCCTAATTCCTTTGTTTGGGCCCAGAAAATCTCTTAATCTTGCCATGGTTTCTCTGAGGGGAATATGATAGATGTTGAGGCACAACCATGTGCTTCCTTACTGGCGTTTAGCCTACAGGTTGGTGGTTACTGGTTTCGACATAAGTCATTAGAGGTATAGACCCACCACCACCACGTCCACTCATATGTTGTGTGTGCTGGCTTTCTATGTTTGCACTTTGCATCAACATGTTGGGTAGGAGGGATAAATTGGCCCATTGCCATTTATTGCTTTTGGTGCATTTAGAGAAAAATTTATCCATATATGAAATTATGATTAAGTTGGAAGAGCACATATCTCCTATATTCAAATCAAATGATTTATTAATCATGTTAATTTACTCAAATTTATAGTAGATTGAGCCATGTGAAATACAATAAATTGCTATAACTGAAGAAATAGATAAACCTATTCAAGCACGAGTGTTCTTTGCACTATGTCGATTGGTTGTTTCAACAAATTGAGTATTGATTATTAAAGAACACCCCATAAAATTTGAAATTAAAAAAAATGATTGAGCTTATTAAGATTGATTCACTATGAAGAAATAAAAGAGCATATATATGTTTCGATTCCAAAGTCTCACATTCAGTTGTCAGATTTACGAACAAAGCCTGGAAACTCATTATTAATAGATGTGTGCTCATTTTCTTTTATTCCTTATATAAGTAATACAGAAAAAGGAAAGCAAGAAGGAGGGGCAATAAGTTACGCTTGTTCTGTGATTACAGGGTGCAACAAGCTAATAATATGCGCTTTATGTTATACATGAGCATTTAAGAAATTTGTGCACTCTTCCTAGTTATCAAGGAGGGAACTGAAAAATAAAACTTCTTTGAAGGTACAATAATGCGCGTCTCTAGTATATATTATAGTAGATAATAATGCTAATATATATTATAGTATAACCTTAATCTCTAGACTACCAATGCGCGTGTCTCTCTCTCCCTCTTTATGTATATATAGTGACAACAGATAGTTGAAGAGGTACAATAATGCAAAAATGCAGTTGCCCAAACAGTGAGTCACATCCCTCACATGTAGTGTTGGTGACGAGTCGAGGTATTGTCCTAGCTGTTGGCCTGGTGCAGCTAGCATGTGGACTCTAAACTGATCAAACAAAATGAGAACTTTGCCTGTCTTTCTAATTAGGTAGTGTGTGTAGTTCCAGTTTTATTTCTTGCTCCGTTATAGTCCAATTGCGAACACACACAAAATTATGTTTATGTATGTGTATGGTATGTGTATGGTACTTCTAGTACTATTTTGGATGCTAATATAGGATTTAAATAACGATATATAACACAAAGCTTGAGTATTTAGACAATTTTAGTTAGTCTTTTAAGTCGGTGTGTATGAATGGGGAACATTGTGGTATCTTAGCTCTGATAAGCGTTGCAAATAATTGTGAGACCTCAACTCATACGTTTGATGATGGACTTTAGAATAAGATAATGATATAAAAAAAATCACCAGAAGATTTTAAGTCCATTATTCAGCAGGTATTTAGATGTCTTAGTCTGCTAATTAAACAAGGCAATATAAGGGAATCTTTTTGTCCTTGCAGGCTCGTATTTATGAATATAAAGTCCCCCGTGTGTATTAAAACAAAAAAACTTCACTAATTGTCGCACTCAATTTTGATTTTTTGTTGTTTCCTTTATCCTATATAAGCTGCGTGATCTGATCTGTGGAAAATTTTTCTATAGATATTTGAAAACTTGCAGAACTTAGATAGAGGCCATTCTCACTCTCAGGATTGTATAGAATGGCAGCAAGAGTTAGTGTTCTTTGGGATTTTGAAAGGTTAGGTGCATATCAAGTGGGGAACATACTGTTGAGCTCGCAAGTGGGGAAAAAGAAATGAAGAGATCAGGACAATTCTGTGTCTAACTTTCAAAGTGAGTCCTGCTTCTGCGAAACATCAAAGGAAATGGAGATTTGAAATGTTTAACTGCGTTATTGCATAAATTGTCTAGGAGGTTCAGCCTAAAAGGTATATATTCATAGCCTCATTATAGCATTGCATTAATTGTACTGAAGCAATAATGCAGTTGTTACTTGGTAGATCAGATTATCCTTACAGCACTATTTTCTTCCTTTTTTTCAGATTTTGACAGCAAGGTCCATTTATCCATTTAGAATTTAGTCATTTGTGCGTTTATGTTATCATTACAAGATCTTAGTTTCACCGTTAAATTCCTGGTTAAAATTAATGATTTTTCTATATTATATTGCAAATAAATGTATTTTTTTTTAACGATACTTTCCACTTTATAAGAAAAATGCCAGCAATGCGCTCAATTTTAAGCTACAAAATTCCTAATACACTACATTTTGATTTTCTTACCTTTATAAAGTATGATGATCATCATATCTTCTCCTTAAGATTTCTTGATCGTGTTTTCTTTGGTTTAGTACTTTTCACACGGTTTGCAGGATGCAGAGAGGCTGTAAAGAATATTTTTTAGTCGATCCATTGAAAAAGATAAGCTGTAGTTGGATCAACCTATAGCATTATAGTAACAGAGATTGGATTTATTAACTGGTCTTTATGTTCTAACATACTAATTTGCTTCAACCTTCACGTCAGGTTATTTCAGTGTGATGATTAGCAATCTGGCTTCAGAATTCTACACTGCTATTTTTGCATAAAGAATATGAAGGATGCTCTGTGCAAGCAAGGTGTAAGTTGTTGTTGGGACACTCACACCAAGGGTAACTTTGATTTAAACTGGGGTGCTCCTTATCCTAGCCTACATTGCTGGCATGGCAGGCTACTTTCCATAGTCCATGACATGCTACACGTATCACCTTACTCTATTCATGACACGTGTAACATGCTATACAATAAGACTTGCACGTGTGAGACGTGTTTATTTCTTTCCTTGATGTTATCCTTCCTTCACTTGATTATTTCTCTCCTTATTCTTCCACACACCTAGATCATTGTGATATTCTGCTGCCAGTGAAAAATTAGATTGGTGAAGCTTGGACCACATAAAAAGTAGATATTTTTTTGCCTCTACTTTCTGAATTTTCTAATTCACTAGAAAATTTATTTATAAGTTTTTTACTTGTATGATTTGTTCTGTGTATTTTGATTTACTGATGCTGGATAGGCCTTTTATTTTCACCACGAGAAGGAAGCACCAAAACAGCAAAGCTCAACTAGTCAATCATGTTTTTAAGTAAAGCCTTTTGGTAGTTTTGTATGTTTGATGTCATATTTGGTTGGTTGTTTCCTACTAAACCCAATCAATTGTCAAAACTTTGTGTGTATATAAAAGAATAAATAAATTGATACCATTTTATAATTCTGAGTCATTATGATCAAATGTATATCAGTGTTAGTAAATTTCAGACATCATGCACGAGCCTAGGCTAATGATTAAATACTTTATGCATTTATCTGAAGTCAACTCTGGGACAGATCCCTCAAAGTCACAAATCATTGATGCCGACATAAGAATTTCCTTCACATGCACTAGAGAAGCAACTGGTAAGCACCATTTGAATACTCAAATCTGTTAGTGCGTCACTGCCATAAAATTGTATTAACTACGTTTAGTAATTTGAATATATCTTTCTCTATATATGGCCGTCAGAATTTGTGATGTTCCCTTCAGAATTCTTAATTGTGATGACAAATGTATACCTCTGTGAGCTCCGATCTTGTGCTTTTCCAGACTAGGTAATCTGAAATCATGCAGCCATGTATGCCACTTTGCTCAGCTTTGAGGTTTTTGCTGATTTTCCATTATCTTATGCTTTGTGATGCCACAATTCTCCACACATCTTTTGCTAGGCTTTTGGGTCCACTCTGAGCACCAGCTACAATATTTATAAATAATTTAATAATAAATATTAATTAGCGTTTTTAAGATATTAGTTATAAAAATTATAAAAAAAATATGAATATACACATTCTTCATAATATCTGATATATTTAACATAATTTTTAATAAAAAATTACTTTTAATTTTTGAATATAAATTTGTTTCCAAATTCCAACATTCTACTGGTTAGGTGCCGATTGACATCATCTGGTGCTTTAAAATAGCATTTACTATTGATTCTGATTTGGGCACCAGCACGTTTGTCTGATACCTGTAGTGAGACAGTAACTGTTGTAGCTAATGTCACAGCTTTTGGAAGTAGTTACAAAGTCTACTACTAATGACAGCAATTTATAAAATGAAAATAAAAACAACAACCTGTGTGGGAAAAAGGTGAAAGGAAAATAGACGATGACGTGGCAAACATGAACATGGAGAACATCCTGTGGTTCTCATCGGTGGTTGCCACACGTTTGGCCAAAACCGTGAAGCTTTGATTCAATGCATCACTGTGGAGGCCACACGCCTTGGTTCGTATGTAATAATAATTCAGGACAGCACCATTGTCAAACCGAACATGAAGCCGGTGTTTAAGAAATTTTTCATCAAAAATATTATAAACATTTAAAATTCATAAACCTAATTTTAAATCTTTTAATAACATAAGGATTGGAGTTTAACTTATCGAATTACATGTTTCTTTATTCATGCATAAAGTGAAAAATATATAATCCAATATGATTAAGTTATTGTATAAAAAAAAACTAGTTATACATAATTTTATTATACAGATGATCATAGTGGAATGTAAATTATTATTGAATCTGACAAATAAAAGAAAGAAAAAAAAATAAGGATAAATAGGTAATAATGATCAGAAAAATTTTCCCCCAAAACCAACTTTTTATGTGTAAATAACATTATCCTAATAACTATAAAGAAAACATTATCCTGATCACAAAGGCATAAATCTTTATACTTTAACTCCTATATTTTATGACAAAAATAATAAGTGAAAAAAATATTATTCTTCATTTAAATAATAAATATTATTTGTGCTTTTCCTATGAACTATATGTTTTTTGGAGCAGATTTCTAGATGTTATATATAACTTTAACTCATAGCTTTATTTTTATATTATATATTTATTATTAAACGATAACATTTTAAATTATTTTTCTTTCTCGTTAAGTCACAATACTTTTATGATCTCATTTTATAATTTTAATTTCCCTCAAATATTACTTCTTACCTTTGGTTAGTTTTTATTTAAAATGTGGATACTCCATATCACATTAAAGATTTATTTCCAAGTAAATTAGAGTTTCAAATTGTTGTAATTTTAGTTTATTTTAATTTTTAAATTCTGACTCAATATATTAAACTAATGAATAAAATATTTTTTTATTAAATGATTTATTTTAATATTTTCTTAATTCAAATGTTTTGTTTTTTTATCTGTTTTTATTCAATGAAATCTTTTTATAAATAATAATTACATATAGTATTATATTTTATTTTCTTTAAAATATCCATATAAATTATGAGAAATTGGCTAATAATACTCAAAATTTGTAATTCAAAAAATCACATTCATGGGTATATTCGATGAATTTTCTAATAATATCAGAAACATTAAATTTTCTAATAATAAAAAATCCCAATGGAAGATGAGGTGGATGATAAAATTTAAAATTTGCATTGTTTCATTTCGATGGTGAGATGGATTATGAAAAGTTGAGTTGGTAGTGAGGAATTACATAAGCAAGACAAAGGATTAGTTGATCAAAACAATATTATCCGTGCAAGGGCATGACCAGCAAAGTAATTTGAGATTCCATCAACTTTTGCTTTGCTAATTGCTTAGACTCAAACGCCAAAATAAGAATAAGAAGATAGACACAGCGCTTTAAATTGCTAATTATAATAGTAATAAAATTAATAAATTTATGTAAAATGATTATTTTAAAAAAAAATAGACGGTGGGTCGTGGAGTAGTGCAACAAATCAAATAACTTCTATCAATAAATGAAAATGTGTTTTTCAATTAACTTTTTTTGAAAAAAAAATTGGAGAAGGAAAAATAATTTAATTTTACTGTGAAAGTTTAATCCAATAAAATTTCAATAAAATGAAAAACAAATAAAATATTTAGTCTTATGTCTATAAAGTTTAAATTATATATATATTTTTTTTAATTTTACAGTATTATAATAAATATATTTATATTAATGATTATTTTTATTTTTAAGAATTAATATATATATATATATATTAAATAAAGCAATAATTATCGATATTTATATTTATATTTAATATAACAAATCATTATAATTATTTTAAGTCCTTAATTTTTAAGTAATCATAGAAATTGCAATAAATAAAATAAAAAGGGGACGAAGAAAAATCACGTGGGGACTCATTGGTGCTAGTTGATAGCAGCGAAGGAGCACGACCTCGCCACGCGCCTTCGTGTGACAGGTGCCCTCCCGCCACACTCCCTCGCCAAAAATCAATCTTCCTTTCTCTCTCTTCTGCCCTAATTTTAATTTTCCCCCAAATTTATCCCTTTCCATTTCTAGCTTCCTACTCTCTACATCCTTCGACCTCGATTCACAACATATCATATTCCAATTCTATTCCTTCCGAATCGTCTTCCCCGAGGTAGGTAAGCAAATCCACTTTGCTTTCTGTGCACATGTATATAGTATTCTTCTTTTATAATTGTATTGGGTCGTTATCTGTTTGAATCTTTGATCCTTGGAATTTGTTGATGCTCTGTTTGGCTTATATGACTTGTGGAAATTCAAGTTACGAATTTGGTTTTTTTTTTTTCCCTGATGGGATTGCAAGGGAACGAATTGATTGCATCTGGAAGCACGGATTTTACTTTGTCATTGACAGTCACAAAATCATTCCCTTTATTGGGTGTTTGGTTTACTTGTCCTTACTTTAAAAAAGGGGTACAAGATTGAAGTAGTTTTGTTATTTTTAGTTAGAAGATTTTGTTGCTGGAAGAATTGATTACTGGCACAGTTGGTTTTGTTCATATGGGATCAGAAAGTGTAGCTCCAGTGGTTGAGACATCAAAAAACAGGTTAGAGATTCTAATGTTTTCATGAACACACACTCAAAATGATAATCTGATATGTAGTTTCATACTTACAGAATCTGCTCTTGCTGCTTCTTGTTTCTAGTGAATTTCATGCGTGCTGGCAGTTTCTTGATTGTGCAATTCCTTTTGTAGTTATTTGGTTCAAGTGGAGAAAACTTTCTAACACGGTCTAAAGCACTTGATGTGTTGAATTGATGCAAGTGTAAATATGAAATATCTATTCTTCTGTTCGTTTAAACTATAGAGTTATTAGTTATTTCATCTAGCTATACTTGTTACGGCAACTATAAATTTTACTAGAACTATTGATAACAAGCAGTGGTGGCATCAGCGGAAGTATTAGTAGATGTAATATTAATATTTAATAGCACTACATTCTAGCTGTCTCTAGCATAAGGACCTTATGTCGAAATACAAGTTCCTTTTCTGGATTCAGTTCTTGTAAATTTGATTTGTTTCAGGTCTTCTTCTGGTAAAATGAACCAAGGGAAAGTCCCCAAGAGAGTTCACAAGGCTGAAAGGGAGAAAATGAAGCGTGAACATTTGAATGAACTCTTTCTTGATCTGGCCAATGCACTAGGTAACCTTTTGTGCCACTATAATGTATCTTGAATATTTTCAAACTTTACATCTAGATTAAGTGCTTTTTGTCTTTCTTTTCTTCGGGGGGGGGGGGGGGGGGGGTCTTTTGGTGGTGGTGTGGGTGTAGATCTAAATGAGCAGAACAATGGAAAGGCTTCTATATTGTGTGAAGCTGCTAGGCTGGTTAAAGACTTACTCTGTCAAATTGAGTCCCTCAAGAAGGAGAATGTTACCCTGTTGTCTGAATCTCGTTATGTAAGATTGACACTCTTTTTCCTCCTTCATTTTCCCTTATTTAGATTTAGAGTGCTGCATGTTAGATCATGACATGTATTCCAAAGAGATTTTATCATATGCTAGGTGACATGAAATAATCCCCTTTTTAAGCAATCTTTGACCAGTTACTTAAGCTGATTAGCATTTCATTGTATTTTGGAAGTTGATGCTTTGATGCCACACAATATTCTCGTATCTGTTTGTATATCATATGACATGATTTTCTTCATTGGGCAGGTGACCATGGAGAAAAATGATCTGAAAGAGGAAAATTGCAGCCTAGAAACTCAAATTGAGAAACTGCAAGGTGAGATACAGGCAAGAGTGGCTCAATCTACACCTGACCTGAACGTACCTCCTCATTTGGAACTTGATCCATTGGAGCAGACAAATTTTCCAGGACACAGTCTCCAGTTGCCCACTGCGGAACCTAACTTGCAGCAAGGATCTGCAGTTTTGGTTGTCCCCTTTCGTCCAGATCTTGAAGCTGCTTTTCAAGCTCCTAATGTCATTGAGCTTACGCCAAAATCTACATCTGTTGTTAGTAAACCACATGCCAGGTATCCCACACCAGCAGATTCATGGCCGTCACAGCTGCTAGGAGAGCAACCAACTTCAAATTAATTTGTAGAGTTACAGTTTCAGTATTGGTTTAACCTGACAACTGGTTGCCTAATAGCAAATTAGCAATGCTGCTGTGGACCTTCCATGTATAAATTATATATATTCAATGATCTAAGAATTTTAATCATTTCTGTTTGGCCTTATCTGGGTTTTAATTTTTGGCTCTAGTTAGTATATTCTCCTTTACTTAGTTTTCTTGGGCTGAAAGCCTCTAGTTACTCAGTTTGTGGTGGTTTCTCATGGAACCATGTCTGATGTTTATGCGCTAGAAATTAATGGATTCCCCTGTTCTGGGATTATATTGCCTTGGCTTTTCTTTGGGAAGAAAATTTTATTCCGGACTTAACATGGGAAAATAATTATTTTAAAGCTTAATATGTTTTGTCCTACAAATATGAGTAAATTTAATTTTAGTCTTCTTTTTTGGTTTGATACTTAATTTTAAAATTGTCTTTCTCATCGTTTTAATAGTAATGCAACATGCCTTTAGAAATTAGATTAATAAATATTTTAAAGTGATAAGTGGTTTGAGATGTTTAAACACATGTCATGTTATAGAATTAAACAATTCAATCTAATAAATTAAAAGAAATTAATTCAAAAAAATATTAAAAACTTAAAATTAAATTTAATCATATTTACATAAATTAAAAAATTATTTTATTTTATCCTTCTATTTTCTTCATGTGTATTTTTGCTTCAATGTAAAAGGATAGCATGAACTGGCCACTACTTTTTATCTTTATTCCTGTGGGATGAGATTAAATTGGGGTTGAACGGAAATGCTATTTTAACAATTATCGTTGGACTCCTATAGGGACACCAAATGCTGTCTCTCTTTTTTTAGTGTGGGATGTGACATACATAACTAAAAAATATAAATAAACATGATCAAATATAAATATAAAGTGCAAGTGTTAAATAGGATTTAACCGATAATTAAATTCATTTTCCTCAAATAAATCTGATATGCTTTAAAACTTTAAAATGAAGTTCCTCTTAAATTGACATTCAACGATAACATAACAATTCTTGATTTTTTTTAAAAACGTAACAAGTAGATACGATAAACCCCCTATCTTAAATTGCTTTTGAATAGTTATACGTGGATTCTTTTAAAAAAGGAAAAGTGGGAAGAACAATTTAGGTAGCAGTAATTTCGTAATTACGTTGAAATAAAGGCTCCATTTGAGTTCTTTTTTGCGTAAGCGAATCTTCATTTGGTGACCGACCCATACAAAGTTTCACTCACCGACGAAGGACCACGGTGATCCAGCATTCCATCCCATTCACGATTGAAATCAAAACCGCCCAATCCCCAATCCTACGGTGACAAGAAGTTACTATTCTAGTCTGGGGTGCACAAGAACAGTATCTCCCCACCCCAGAAAGCCACGCTACGGTGTTCAATAATTCTCTCTTCTCATTCTCAGCACCGCTCCCACTTTTTCTCACACCTGTCTCTGCTTTTGTTCTCCTCTCTCTCTCTCTCTCTCTCTCTCTCACACACACACACACACACGCATTCATTCCCTTAGCTGAGTTTAACAAACAAGTTCAGAGCAGAGGGAACAGAAACACTCACTTCTTAAGATGGGATCTGGGGCTGGTAATTTCCTGAAGGTGCTTCTCAAAAACTTCGATGTCCTTGCCGGGTATGTTTTTCGTCGTCTTCTATGTTTCAATACCATCTCTTCCTCAAATCGTATTCGAATTACCCTAACGCTAAACCGTTTTGCAAGTCTACACTAAAATAGGCTACTTGCTTCACATCTTACTGGAATACCTAAACTAACCCTGTTTGTTCAATGTGCTATCACAGATTTGTTTTCCTGTATCAATGTGATTGTTTTTTTTAATTTTTCTTTCTTTTTTTTAACTCGTGTTTGTTTTGTTTCTGTTGCAGGCCTGTGATTAGTCTTGTTTATCCTCTGTAAGCACAATCTTAATATCCCTCTGTTCCTTATTACAGGATGTGCTTTGTTGAATTTACTGTTGGTTTTTATTTCGTTGTCGTGATAGGTCGAGCTAGTGTTTTTTAGAATAGAATAGATTGATTCATGATTGGTGTGGGTTTCGTTATTGTGTGTATCAGATATGCTTCAGTTAGGGCAATTGAGAGCAAGTCTCCTGTTGATGATCAGCAGTGGCTCACTTACTGGGTTCTGTATTCCTTGATCACCCTCTTTGAACTCACTTTTGCTAAACTTCTTGAATGGTACGCTTTTTTTTTTTTTTTTGTTCTCTTTTGTGAAAGCATAATGAATGAATACTTTCTAAATGTGATGATAAACTTGAGAATTGAGATTTTAGGCTTTGCAACTTGTGCATGTTTTTTAAAGGTACCTCTATGTGCAGGGTGACTTTTGCTACTAGCCAATATATAGTGCTATTCATTAAATCTTAGAGTTTTGATAGTTAATTTGGATGTAACTTACGGTGAGAAAAAGTATGGGAAAAGAAATTGTTTACTTGTTAAGTGCATAGTAGCCAAGCTTGGCTGGCAATGCAAATAGAATTCACACTTGACATCTTTGTCCTTGTGTCAGCATTCAGCAATGGCTTTATTCTAATTTCTATGAAGGCTGAACTGAAGGTTCATCAATTATTGTTGTCTTACATTGAGTCATTCTTTATGAGAAGATATGTTAAAGACACTAATGAATCTGACTGCAAGCTTTGTTTAGGATTTCTAATTATTTGAGCTGCAAAATTAATGCCTCATTCTTTCCATTGTGGTTAGTAGTGTTATAGAATGTGATCATGCATGTGCTATCTTAAGTACTTCGAGTAATAATGCTTGTACTGTTAGAGGTATTAAGAAGGCACCAAAAAAAGACTTCAGTACAATGTAACTAGAGAATGTTGAATTCCTGTAATGCATTTTCCGCAAGTTTTGTAAGAGTTCTGTTTTGATGAGTATATTTTGAAATTAGAAGAGCAAGGGTAAAGGATTAAACTTTTGGTTGAATTTTCACAACATATGTTTCAGGATTCCAATATGGCCCTATGCAAAGCTGATTGCAACCTGCTGGCTGGTCCTGCCTTACTTTAGTGGTGCTGCTTACGTTTATGAGCATTATGTGAGACCTTTATTTGTCAATCCTCAGACCATTAACATCTGGTATGTTCCAAGGAAAAAGGACACCTTTGGAAAGCCAGATGACATTCTAACTGCTGCAGAGAAGTACATCCAAGAGAATGGAACAGAAGCTTTCGAGAATCTGATCCATAGGGTATTTCCATCTGTAATAATCGGTTATTGCGGAATTTACTGTGTTATTGTATCTGACCTGTTACTAATGGTGCCATCACTTTGCAGGCTGATAAATCAAGAGGGGGTGGCGGTTATTATTCGATGTATGATGAGACATATTGAGTGCAATCGTGTAGCTTATGCCTGTTATGGATATGGGAATTCATGTAAATCTTACCACGTTACTGATCTTTGTTTTTAATTCTCCGAGGAGATACTTTGTTTTTTTTTTATCCTTTTATTTTTATTATCGTGTAATATCTTAGAGTTAGTCATGAATGTTTTATATAATGGCGATGACACCAATGGTATATATAGATAATGTTGGCACAATAGCATAAACTCGTTGAGTTTTTTCCCCTTTTGTTATACCCTCGACACAAACAAAAGCCCACACTATTAATAGGTCATCAAGTTTATAGGTATGCAAACTTCTAATGCCACAATTGATCCCGATATTATTTACACAACATTTTTCTTAATTTCATTTTCTTTCCGTCATAGTTTCCATATTCCCGTAAGAAACATTTATATTTAGTGGTTTAAAATTAATTTTATTAAAATTGCTCTTATGTAATTTTAATATAAATAGGCACTTAATGTTGTTGTCCAAAATGGTTTATCTGCATTCGAATTTGGAGATAAATTCTACTTCATGTACAAGATGGTTTGATAAGAAAGAAAGATTCGACCATTTTCTGAGTCTCATAATATGTGTGGAATTTATAAAATATGCACATTTTTCTCCTCCAATTGAATTTTTTTTTTATATATATAGCAAATGGAGATGACCCTCTCCCTTTAATTTGTACACGTATTTTTTAATAAGAGAAAAGGGAAAGATGATTTTCTTTCCCCTTTATCTCATAAGAGACAAGTGGAGATACAAAATTGTATTTTTTTTATTTCTTTTTGGTCTTGGGAGAGGGTAGGGATTGGGGGAGAAGGATAGGACAAGGTTTGAACCTGATTCTCATATTTGATGTACCTCTACCTTTCCAACTAAGTTATCAACCAAGAAATACACTGACTATGAGGAACTTGTTTTGTGCGTTGTCTTCATGACTTGATTGATTGAAGGATTAACATTTTTTATTAAATATAAAATAATGACGGCTTTTTAATTAAATATTGTAAACTTAAAAAAAATTCTTAATATATGATTTTTTTAAAACTATTTCCTTACATATGGTGTGTCAGTCCACGTGGCACTAATTTCGTCAATGCGATTGCGAAAATATTAAATTTTTATTTTTTTAAAATAAATTTTGTTACAAAAATTGTGAAATAATCAGATTGTAACATGTGTCAACATTTACAAAATTTAGTAATATGATTCGCGAAATCAATCTGAGTGAATTTCGCCGTAAAAATTGCACTTACAAGAATCTGACATGTGGCACAGTTCTAGGCTATTAGGCGAATTTATCTTAATTAATTTTAATGACATAATCAAACCAGATCTTATTTAAATTTAGATACAAATCATTACCACATTTAAAATAAAAATTAAATTACTAACATTCCACTAAAAACTATTTTTTTATTTACATATAAATTTAAATTACATCTTAATTAAATAAATTTAAATCCTAACATAATTAAAAATATTATATTATATAGTAAAAACTAGTATTATAGTTTTATAAATGTTATCGATGTCATAATAATAATATATTTATAAAATATCATGATTATATTATAATATAACAACATGTTATTGTACTATTGTAAGATATTACACTATTTTTAAAAAATAAAATTTCTCAATACAACATAATAATAACAATTATTATTGATCATATCAAATAATATATTTTTTACATTATATAATTTTTTTGTAATATATAAAAAATAATGTTAATCTAAAAATTAAAAATATTTATGCCCATACATTTCAACGTTTAAATTTTATTCAAAGTAAAAAAAAATATTTTTAATCTTATTTTGAAATTGATTTAAAATGTTAAAATTATTTTTTAGTAGTATTAATATTTATTATATATTTTATATAATTTGTAAATACTAATTTTTAAATACAAATGCTTTTTAAAATAATATTAAATGAGGATGTATGTAGAAGTATTTTTGAATAAGGGTAATTTTAAGCATTGATTTTTTATTATCATATTACATATTTTTTGCACATGGAATATTTTTGTATTTTATATTGATTTTAATCTTATTTTTTATAATTTTATTAATATAATAAAATATTTATGGTTAATAATTGTAATATTTTTTAAAAATTTCTAAAATATATTAAATTTAGAAATAAATATGTAATATATTTTTAATCATTCATTTAAAATAATTTAATTGAATTTAAAAATATTAATATAGTACATGAAAAAATTAATAGTAATTTGTATGTAAATATAAAAAATATTTTCTTGTATTATGTTACTATTTTTTTAAATTTTAATATAATCATAATTGATATCTAATTATAAAAATTTTAATTAAGATGTAATTTGAATTTATATGTAAATAAAAAAATATTTGCTAATAGAATATTAGTAATTTAATTTTTATTTTAAATGTGGTAACGATTTGTATCTAAATTTAAATCAGATCTGTTTTGATTATGTTATTAAAATTAATGAAGATAAATTCGTCTAATAGTCTAAAATTGTGCCACATGTCAAATTTCTGCAAGTTGTGCAATTTTCATGCCGAAACTCACTCAGATTGTGACACATGTTACCATCTCAGAGTTTTGCACTGCGTATGGCAAAACTGACAATTAATTTCGCCAATCATATTGTGAAATTTTACAAAGCTTGACACATGTCACAATCTGGTTATTTCACAATTTTTGTGACAAAATTTATTTAAAAAAATAAAAATTTAATATTTTCCTTAGCCGCATTGGCGAAGCTAGTGCCACATAGACTGACACACCTCAGACAAGAAAATAGTTTAAAAAAAACTATATATTAAGAATTTATTTTTAAATTTACAATATTTAAATAAAAAAGCCAAATAATGACTAAGTCTAAACTAATTGATATTTTATTTAATATTTTCTATAAGAAATAATTGAGTATTTTTTTATCTTAATAATAAAAAGTAGATTTATTTTTAGATGTACTAATTGTTAATAATTTTTATTTTTATTTTACTATAAAATTTATGCTAACAAGATATTTACATATTTTTCATTCAATTGTTTGATTATGAATATTTTTATAATAAAATATAAAGAAAAATTAATATATTTGTCTTCTAATTTTATTTTTTGTTTTATTTTAATTTTTTAACTTTTAAAAATATATACATAATTTTTTGTTAAGGATGATAAAATCTGTTAACTTTTTTTGTCCTTCTATTTTTTTGGTAAATATTCTCCACGCATCATTTTCCTTTTGCTACATTTTCCTCCGTGTTCTCTTCTTCTTCAAATTCCTTTTCTTTCTTTTCCTCCTCCTAGCTAAGCAAAGGGCAACAATGGTCATAGTCAGTTGGTGAGTACTGGATAGTTGTGATAGGTGGCTCCTCCAATATTGAAGATTTCAAGTGGTGGTTGACGGTGATTCTTGGTCGTAAGCTAGCTTTAGGGGAAGATATTCTTGCAAGAAACACTTTGACGTCCAAATTAAAGAAAACTTGATCAAGGTGAGTATATGGTAGTGTGTAGAATGCATGCCTGGTGAATCTCCACTTTACGAACGTTGGTTGGTTTTATCAGTGGTTTGCACACATGGCCTTGTAACTCTCTGGTACAAAATCACATTCCTCATTGGTACGGATGGTTGCGCATGTCTGGAAAAGTTGCTGTTTGTCAGAATGTGGTGTGCATGCATGACGATTGGGTCACTTCCATATGAGCTGAGATGAGTTTTATTTAAGTTCTCGACATGGCTAGTTCATCTCCCCTCCGTGGTAGTTCTTAGTGTGTCAAGATGGTCATCTCAATTTGTCTGCAACCATATGTTTGACCCCAGATAACCCTGGATCAAGAGTGACGATACTAGTCGAATAGTTACTGTTAGGTTCAAGCATGATAGTATTTGTTTCTTGTTAGTTTTTGTAATGTGCAAGAAAAATGAGAGCCTAAAAATTGCTGAGCGGGATGTGGAGGGAAAGTTAGTTATATCACAAGGCCACGTGGCACGTGATCCGCAAGGAAAGGGGCGAAGGAAAAGCATGAAGCGTAAGAGAGAGAATGTATTTTTGAAGGATTATGTGCTCTAGGGAAGAATTATGTGTGTGGTATGCTTCTCCCTGAAAAATTCCTCTGTATCCCTTCTTTCTGTATCTTTTCTTTCTGAATTCTTCTCAGTTATTGAATCAAGTTTTGAGCTTCAACAATGGTCTTCAGGGTCATGGCTGATAGTTCTTGTTAATTTCTCATTTCTGATTCTGTATTGAAACCTTAGTCTATTGGTTTCCATTTATACTATTACCATATTTGTATTCAGGCATATTATATTCTCACAGCAAAATTATACAAAATATTCTGGTTGTTGCGTTGTTTCCAAAAACACGTGTTTCAGTTTTCAACAAGTGTGGTCAAGTGATGCGGGCTCGATGACTTGGGTCCTTATGCCGCTATGCATGATGATTTCATGGATAGTTTTGACACTGTTGTGTGGTGACTAGTGTCATAGTTTTTGGGTCCAGAAGAAGGATAAGGAGAAACAAAGCAAAAGATGGTGAAACAGCAATGCCTACACAGAAATGCATGAACAATGTTTACTAAGAAAAAAATTAAAAAAAAAATGTTTCGAAGTTTAGCATTAATAGGAAAAGACTTATTTAAAATAAGTTTAAAAATATAGAAAATCAAAATAAAACAAATAAATAAATAATAGACTATATTCAAATAAAAATAAAGTTAAAGATTAATAACATATTTGTTTACATTTTTAAAGAGAGTTTTTTTTAAAAAGAAAAACTAAAAATACATGTTTAGTTTTTAAGAATAAAAAATTTCATTTAAAAATACATACAAACACACCGTATTTTTAAGTTTTAAAAAGAGAAAATTCTTTGTAAAAATTATATAATTTTGACTTTCAATATATGTTTATCATCTTGTTTGTTTCTAAAATATTTCTACTTAACTGAAATTTTTTAGATTTCAAAGTTTATATCCAAAATTCAAGTTTAAAAATAAGTTAAGCTCATTAAGAAATGCCATTATCAGTCTAACATGGTGACATGTTTCCGAAACCCGCATCTGGTTGGTGGGGAGCGAATCATGATTCGTGAATAAGCCAGAGAAAGAGTTTCATGTTCACATAGATTAGTTTTTCCATATCCACGATATAGAATGTTTTCCAAACTGTGTATAACCATTTGTCACCTTGAGATAATGAATATTTTCCTTCAATGTCTCCTGCCAAAATTATTGTCTTTACCTTCATTTCTCAAGATGATTTTTTTTTCTAAATTACAAATATCTTTTAAAGAAAACAGTTTTGTTCGAATCAAATAAAATCACTGTATGTAAGCAGCAAAGATGGATAAGAAATATTTTACCATATTTCTAGTTGTTAATGCTCACTATAATGCATAAGTAAACCACAACTTCAATTGAGGCATTCATCTGATAGTTTAATCGCCAGTTACAAAGGGTTATGAGGTTTTGTTACACAAATGTATTTCTCCAGACAACACATAAGAAGAGAGAGGGGACGATGTGCTTGCCATATCTACCGAAAAACTCATTAAACGAAAATTGGACAAAGAAAATTACCTGATTCATTTTGCATGAAATTATTTGACAATCACATATTCAGAAAACTCGGCAGAAAATTCATACAGCAGACAAACAAAACTAGTGAAAATACTATGGCTATAAGTCTATAACCACTTTCATTTCTCAAGCAGTGTTCATTAGATGAGTTCTTTTTATACAGATGAAAACAATGAAAAGGGTCATTAAATAAAAACTATTTATTGGAAAGATCAGTCACTATATCATCTGATTATCCATCCACGCTTACAAGAAACGAACGCACCATACAACATTTTTTATTATATGGCACTTTGTGGCCACAGCTCGGGGAAGGGTCACCGGTCTTATAATCAAAGACAGCATTAGTTTGTCTAGAAGCAAGCCTGGCAAATATCTTTTGAATACCAACCAGGAGCTAGTTTTGGGACTAACAGGCTTCAATTTCTGTTTCAGCTTCAACAGCGTTCACAGTTTGATTAAGGTAATCTTGAGCTTCATCTAATGCAGATTCCTTTGCATCGTCAGCATATAAAATCTTCTTAATTGCTACGGACATCTGCATAGAGAACATGAAAATTGCTTACATTTGTTAAATTCTTTCTTTTTTAACGTTCAATTTACCTTTCAACAACCACTGATGTTCAAATACTTTGTAATTATCTGTAAATTTAGCGGTAAGCAATTCAAATGCTAATGCATAACAGCATCATCCAGCTTTACCATACCAAAGCAAACAGATACAGCTTGAGAAAAGATTGCAATCCTCGTGATGGTTATAAAAAAGAAATAAAAATAAAAATAAAAGGTTGAAGCAGATAACAGTAGCCAAAAGCCTTTTTCCACTAGTTGGGTTGGGGAACGGGGATCAAATCACATCATTAAGTTATCAAAAACCAATTCTTCAGAGAGGCTTTTAGATTTTAAATCATTTTTACCGTTTCATTCAGAGCTTTTCTAGGTCTTTATCTACCTTTAATCAAAATAGAAGTTACTATCCAGCAGCTCAAACTATAAAAGATCATTTCTGACAGAAACAAAATAGAATTTAGAACTCAGCCAAAGCTGACCATGCCCCCATCCTATCATCCACTTAGACATACCCATCAACTATATGCACAACTTCTGAGAGTATACATGCTGATGTCAAAACCTTAAAGAACTTGCGTGGTGTCTGTTACCCCCTTTCTGGTCAGTCATAAAGGTATTGGAAAATTCAGAGAAAAGAAAACTAATTGGCTAAAGTATAAGAATAGAAGATGATAGCCATATGAAGTGCACAAAAATTAGACATGATAACAATTATACCAAAAAAGGAAATGACCTCAATTAATTTGTGAATAAAAAAATAACTTCGATGCAAGACTTCATTAGAATCTTACAGGGACATTCTCCACTTCTGGAATCTGACAAAGAATTTCTATATCACGTAGTTTTGCAAAGTAAAAGTCTCTTTCTTTTTCCAGGAGATCCACTGCAGATTTGAGATCAATAATCTATGAAACAGGAAACAAAAGACAAAGAAACGAACAACAAAAAACAATGAGCTAATTTTTCTTTCATTAAAATAATCAATTGACAAACTTTCGATGACCATCATTGCAATAGAGAGCCTAAAGTTCGTACCTCTTTGGACAAAGCCTGAATCTCTACTGAAGAATTAGTCTCTGCTGCTGCTCCACTTGACCTGAATTGCTTGGCCACTGTACTCAAAATTATCAACCGAAAAAAAGAGGATGGGAAAATGAAAATATTAACAAGGCAAATCCATCAGGAAAATTGCTGAACAGCTTAGAATCAAAATTCAAATACACTGAGTAATGGGTAGCTAACCAGAGGTTCTATTAGGATTGAGTGTGTTGCCTGAACCAGAATTATTCATAATATTTGTTTGGAGTGATTTTGAGCTCTTCAAAGAGCATTTAAGGTTTCGATCCTTTCCAACCTTAACCCTTCGCTCCACAGGATTATAATTCCTAGGAAATTTATAAAAAGGTTATCAACATGTTCTATACAATACAACATGAGAAATGTGAATGCACGCTATAATATTGCATTTCTAATTATTTGAAAAGACATGCATGTGGACATGTATCATGCCAGTAATACCTACTATTATGGATTACTATACAAGTAATATAGATACATTAATAGTCAGAGGCTCAGAACTGTTTAAATGAATGCAAAGATACTCAAAGCAAGGAGCATACTCATTCATAATGCCACCATTCACAGAATCACAGTAACGTTTCAGCCATTGGAGGAACTCCAAGTTGTCCAAAGGTCGGCCTTTGACGAGTCTGCCAACTTCAATATGCTGCACAAGTTAGTCATAATAAGTCCCGATTAAATATAAACTGCCACTATTGATTGCATCGCAGTGCTTTCTTTTGCTAGTTTTCAAGCTAGTGGATACATATTGGGGGTGCCAGGCAAAGGGGGCAAGGAAGCATTAATAAAGAAAAGGTAATCTGGCATTGGAATGAAATTCCACCGTTAAATTTATCATTGATGGAATTTTCAGTCCTTGTTAAACACACTATGTTCCCATATGTTAAAAGTTTATCAGTGGTAAATCATTCCATTGTAACTGTGGCTAGTTAGCTACATTTGAAGGTTATTTAAGCCATCCTACCACTCTGTTTATTTAATAAATCAAAGCACTCTTCCAATTCCAAGCATCCCATTTCACATACCTTGTCAATTTTCAGCTTGTTGAACACGTCCTGCAGAACTTTGTAATTCTGGATCATATCATACTCTGTCTTTGCATCAAAGTTCACCTAAAATAAAATCCACATTGCAAAAATTACCCTTCATAGATATAAAATATCAGAATGGCTCAAAAGAAATTAAAGTTAAATCAGAGTAACGTTTCCACCTTGTGCATTGGAACAACCCCTGGATAAGTCATATCCATCATCTGGCATTGTACTGCACCAGATGCAGCCTAGCCAAAAACATAAACAGGATCAAAACCAAAAGATAGATTTTCTTCACAGATAATATGCATAGATTTAATAATATAACCTTATTTAATGATGGATAGAATCCTTACACGGATCAAAGTTGAACTTTACCAAAAGGAAAAAACAATGCATGAAAAACAAAAATAAGATTTCACACGAGAACATATTCTGCAATTACCAACATCCTTGTAGGTTGTCCAAATTATTTTTGATATACACAAGTACATTATAAAGCTATGAGTTTAGCAAAAACATGCAAAAGGGGTCCACAGAGTTACCTCCTCAACGCGTGAGAGATTGAGTTGAAGCCTGTTGTTGATCCATGTCAAAATCTCGTTCCTGCCGACAAAGTAGGCACTATCCATCATGCCTATACTCGACGCCATTTCTGCTAACCCAGAAAGAGAAAAAATGGGGGTGTAAAAAGAACAAAATGTGGGTGTTCTGAAGAAAAAGGGATGAATGAAGATTTCGAAGCAAAATCTTAAGTGGGTTTCAGCGAAGTTTCGATTTTTATTTTGGGAAATGGGAAACGGAAGGAAGGGAATCGAGTTGTAAATTTTGAGAAGAAAGAGAAATGGAATCTGTATTGCACTGTGGGTTTGGGAATTTGTAGTAACTCACTCTTAAGTCATAACTACATCGCTACTCGTAAGGCTTTCTTGCTCAGTGGTGGGAAACCAATTTTTTAATAATTAATTGAATAAAATATTTCCCTTTTATTCATTGCGATTGATTAAATAATTTGCAATTTGTTGATTTCATATTGATAATAACGTCATCATAGTATTTGATGCCAAGTGGAAGAAAGACTATATTCTTAAGTTTCCATATTTGTTAAAATTTTGTTATTTTAAAGCAAAGACGGTAGGGAAGTAAGATCTCATGGATGTCTTTGCTGGAAAAGGCTATAAAGTAAAGACATAAGTTATTTATATAATAAATTTACATTTTTTTCATAATAATATATTATAATCAAACTACTATAAAACATCTCCTTTATATTGGAATTAATTTTTAACTAAAGCAGGCTTTGTCGGAAGAAATCTGCCAATGACAAAAAAATAACAAAAAAGTTAAATAAATTTTTTTATTGATGTATTAAAATGAATCAAATGATACAGACAATTATGTAACTATTACATGATAGTATTATCAAAAAGTTATTATTATTTTAAGATAGCTTACGATTTATTTCTTTATATTTTTTTTATTTTATTAATATACCCGTGTAATTTTTTTATCATTAAATTCCTGTGAAGTTTGGATTAAAATGAAATTTTGTGTGTGTAATTCAAGTGATATATGCTCATTTTTTAAAGTGAGAATTTATGTTTGAAGTATATCAAAAGAATATTAAAAAAATTAATCTTATCATGGTCGAAATGTTTTTTTATTGAACAAGTTGTCTTTGTTAAAAGATATATATCCCTTAAAAAAAACTAACTAAAAATAAAAATATAATGCAATGAATCTTGTTATCTATGGTCAAGAAATTAAGACATTTTTTTTACTGTAAATCACAGTAAATACATTATAACTTATAATGAGAATGTGTTAATGATTTTTAATATTTGTATAATGTCATCATCCTTGTCTTTACAGTGATAGTTATGCACTAATAAATCATTAAAAACACATGAAAGCAACAGAAGAATGGACCTTACAATAACTATGTCTGGCTTAGCATCCGCTCACTTTAGAATTACAGCTAAAGTCAGAAATTACCTCTTGTTCATCGTTCTCGTGATGCTCACTCTAAAAGCAAAAAGAAACAATTTTACTCATGTAATGTCATAAAAGTGACACATTCCCAAAACCCACACTTTAAACATGTTTTGAGTGTTTTCTTGCTTTTTAGGCGTGAAGAGCAAATCATGCCTTGGGGGTAATTTTTTCAGAGAAAAATGTATATCACCCTATTGCAGATTAAACCATTTCTACATATGGTGCAGTAACTGTGGTGGTATAAGTGTGTAAAATTGAAAATAAAATAAAATAAGTGATAACATTTTTTCTATCGATAACATTTATGAAATTTAAACTTGAGATTATTAACTGGCTCATGTCAATTAATCTATACAATTGATTATCTATGGTTTGATTACTCAATTGGTATAAGCTCTATATAGTTTTGACAACACAGTTGTTTTAAAGCATTAGAGAGATTAAAATTTACGAAATTCCAATAATTATAATTATAGTTATAAATAATTACATTAATGGTGTAATAGTACATTTTTGGATGACAATATAAACAATTTCCTTGGATCAAATTAAATATTTTTTTTTTGAGGTGGGTAAATAAAATATAACGAGATAGAAATCCAAGTAATGATCGACTGCAACAGCACTACATTTTTTTATACATATTAAAATTTCGAAATACATTTTATTGGTTGGTGGTAAGATAGTAATTACATATTGCGAGACAGTTGAAGAAATAAAACAATTCAATTATTATGTCTTCCCCAATCAATTTTATTTAATTTTTTAATAGCTAAAAATGAAAAATAAAAATAAAACGAAAAAAATGAAAAACGAAATATGGAACGGACAAAACACTTAAATGCGTGCAGAGAAATAACATAAGAAGTAAATGGGCAACGTTTTGATACATAACACACACAATTCAATTCTAATTTATAAAATATATTTAGTGCAGCTATCCATATAAAATTATCTTAAGAATAAGATAAGATCTCTCGTATAATTGGGCATAGGTTTGAATGTTCACTCGTTTTCTAAACTTCTCTCCTAAAAATTATTGTAAATGTTCTTTGAATTATAATTATTTTTTGAGCTTGATATATCTTTTTCTTGAACGAAAAAAATATATAAATTTTCAGAAAATAAATTTGCTAAATAAAAATGTTATTTTATTTTATTTTTTTGAGGGGGGGGTGTCCAATTAACAAAGAATAGCGGAGTTTGGGAAATGTTAACAAGCGAAAAACCGTATAGAATTCACGTGACTAATATGGGTTTATATATTGGGCCTCGCCAGAAGGACAGATAAATGGGCTTAAAGCGAAAAGCCGGGCCTGGACAGAACTAGGGTTTAGAGGTCTCTTAAAAAGGAGAGAGGAAGCGTTGATAGAGCTTAAGCTGCAAAAACCTAGTACCAGAAGAAGAGGCAGGTAAAGAAGAGAAGAGCGATGGTGCACGTTTCCTTCTACCGAAACTGTGAGTCTCTAATTCATTCAAGTTATCATATGAACGCTTGATGCATCTATGTGTGTTGATAAAATGTGATTGTGATTGTGATTTTGATTGAATAGATGGGAAAACGTTCAAGAAGCCACGCCGTCCATACGAGAAGGAGCGTTTGGATGCGGAGCTGAAGCTGGTTGGGGAGTACGGGCTTCGGTGCAAGAGGGAGTTGTGGAGGGTTCAGTACGCCCTTAGTCGCATCCGTAACAATGCCAGGAATCTTCTCACTCTTGATGAAAAGAATCCCCGTCGGATCTTCGAGGGTGAAGCACTTCTCCGAAGAATGTTCCGTTACGGACTCCTTGATGAGACTCAGAACAAGCTCGATTATGTCTTGGCTCTCACCGTTGAAAACTTCCTCGAACGCCGCCTCCAAACCCTCGTCTTCAAATCTGGCATGGCCAAGTCCATTCACCACGCTAGGGTCCTCATCAGGCAGAGGCACATCAGGTCACAATCCATTTGTTATTCGTGTTGTGTGGTTGATTTTACTGCTTCTGCCATGTTGGGTTCGCCTTGTGATGATTGCCATGATGTATAGGATATTTGTCAGAACTTTCATTTTTCTAGTAGTTTAAAACTACCATTAATTCCCACCCTGTAAATTTCTATGTTGTTCAAGATGAAGCCATGCTGTGTTGATGGTTCTGTTATTTATTTATTTTTAGGACCTGTTTCTGAAACCCGAGAGTTGATTTTTTGAAAATTGAGAGTTCATCTGTCATTCGATTTGTATGGTGTTAGCTTTTTTCGCTATTGATTTTTATTGCCCAATTGATTTTGACTGGATAAAATGTGATAAGAAACAAACTGTTAATGGCATTGTTTGAAATGGATTTGAATTTGGTTTTGGGGATTTGCAGGGTTGGGAGACAGGTGGTAAACATTCCATCATTCATGGTGAGGGTTGATTCACAGAAGCACATTGACTTCTCACTCACAAGTCCACTTGGTGGTGGTCGCCCCGGACGAGTGAAGAGAAAGAACCTCAGGGCTGCTGCCAAGAAGGCTGCTGGTGGAGATGGAGATGAGGAGGATGAAGATTAAATTATTAATGGCTAGTGATCTTAGATCTTGCACCTGCTATTATCTGTCTTGGTAGACTTTTTAGATATTTGTCATGCTTTGACTCGTATAATATTTCCATCATTGTTTCTTGTTTTGAGGTAAAGCCTTGCCGGAGTTATGTTGTTTTTTGAACTGTTCTTTTGAAAGTATGAAGTTTTGCTCCAATGTCTATGATATTTTTCCAACTGATAATAATTGTAGGCTTCATGGCCGTTTTTGAAACCCGTTACGTTGGGGTTAACATTCACAGTTTTATATAGATATCAACCTTAGAAGTTCATAAAATTATAAGCACGAGTGATTTCAAGATTTCGTTTTCTCCCTTAAAGCTTATGGGGCGCTTGCTGCTAAACGTTACTAAACTAACTACGTTGAATTGTTAAGGTTTGAACATGCTGCTAAAAAAATGATACATTTGCAGTTTTTGTTTGCTGAAAGTTGAAGGGTTCTATATGGGGGGTTTAATACGAAGTCATACTAAATACAGTTGTGTCATTTTAATTGTGGAACTACCGTAATAACTAACAAGACGCTACCCCAATTGCGAACTGGTTGGTTCTTTTCAGAGCAGAAAATCTCAATGCTGTTTGAGTTTGCCAAATAGTTGTAATGTGTGACGAATGCACTAACGCCGCTGGATTCAGCAGATATAAGCGCTCACCTTACAGATATTTGCTATCTTAATGTTTATCGATTGCTTCATATAAATTGCTAATTATTTCTGGATATACATAAAAATAATTTAGATAATTAATTTAATTTACTTTATGAGAACCAAGTATGTAATTTTTTTTTTATGTCTCAAGTTAAACATTGAAATGTATGAGGTATGAAAAAAAGGGTACAAACGTGCCATGTTATCATCTAAATATTAATTCTATGAAAAGTGTTAAATTTTATAATAATTATTTTAAAAGTCTTACCTATAATATTTTTTAATCAACTATGTACATAAGATTCCTTGTAGTGTCTATATTATGATAAATATTTCTTTGAAGCTTAGTGTTTGCTAGTGTAAACTTGAAAAGATACTTTATATTTTATTTAAATTGATAGTTTTGCTTTTTCTAATATATTAAAAATTAAAAGATATTTATGTTTTTTTTTTCAAATAGACCACTAACCTTAACTATGTATTATATATATTTAATATAAAATTAATTGTAATAATTATTCAATGTGTGAGATAATATAAAATGTTCTCTTAATTTACAAGAAACTGTAAAAATTACTTTGCAGCTTAGTTTAACTTTTACGTTAGCAAATGACTAGATAAAGTTTTAAAGACATGCCAACCATATAAAGGAAGTTTCGGCCATGTAAAGGACAAAAGAATATTAAAATCAAATAAAAATTTATTTTACATTTAGAATTGATGATATTTTTTTAACAACATAGGAGGAGAATGGAAATTCATTTTATATCTAGAATTGATGAAACTTTTTTTGACAATATTGGAGGAGAATGATTGGGTTGCATATTTGAGTGTTTTACTTATCTAATTTACTTGTTAATTTTAAAGTTTAAGTTCCCTTATTCGAAATTTCGAATACTCTTTCTAAAGTTGAACTAGTTTGGAGAATCTGGATCCTTTCCACAGCAGTCCAGCCTCTACAACAAAGACTAAAATGGTTGTACTTGTCTTCTTTTTTCGCTAGAGAGGCAGCACAATTGCAGACTCTGAGTTTTGAGGAAGAGAGCAGTCTTGACTTGCAGGTTTTTTTGGTAGTTTGTATTTATAACTTCAAATTTTGGGCCTCTATCTCTAGTTTTCCTTTTATTTTTTTACTGTTTGGGTCTGTGCTTATTTTTTGTAATTTTTTTTGTCATAGGTCTAATCTTTTTTTATGTAAGACTCTTTTATTTTTGGGCCTTCATTAATTATTTAGGATCTATAATACTATATTAGGATTTTGAATATGAATTTAAGTCAATAACTAGAAATAGTAATTAAGCTGTAAACTTGAGTGATTTATCTAGAATGTCTTAGATAATTTTAAAGTTGAAGCTCTACTACTTGTATACCTTTGATTTGTTGAACAAGTGGTACATGTACAAAGAATTTTGTCTCTAGGAGAGGGATAAAACTTGCTTTACAAATAAAATATAAGGGCTTGTGTGATTTCCTTTTCAAAACAGTTTTCTTTTTAAAAAAATATAATATAATAGAAAATTACTATTTGGGAAATTACATATAACATATTCAAAGCTAGTTTTGCCTAGGTAGTGAGAAAAATTAATAGAACATGATTACTTTCCTTATATTATTAAAAACAAAGGTAATTTTGAGGGACATGTTTTGTTTGCAAAAGTTAATTTTCGTATTCAACTTATATTGTGGGGCATATGAATACTTTGAAAACAAAACTAATTTCGTGGGGCGTTTTTGTATTCAAATACACTAAAAGCAATGTTAGTTTTGAATAGTAGTACACCGAGAAATAATTAATTTTATTGAAATTGGTGTAGTAGAGGTATTATAAAAAGTGGTATTATACCAAAAATTTCGTTCTATACTGAGCAAAACATGCTTTTAACAAAATTTAGCCACTTAAAAGATGACATGTGATACGTCTAAAGCTAGTTTCATTCATAAAGAGAAGGAAACTAAGTAGAATATAATTACTTTTATTAAAATGTGTTCATAAAACTTGCTTTCATAGAAACATGTGATGTACACGAGACAAGATTGCTTGCTTTGTACTACTGAAAACAAAGCTATTTTTGTGGGGTATATGAATCTTTCGGAATCATTATTAGTTTTCATATTTTCATTATAAAAATATTGAAAAAATATACTTTATATATACACAGTAAATTGGGTTTATTACGAGAACAAGAATAATAAAAATAAATCATTAATTTTATTTAAAAGTTTAAAATTAAAAGAACAATTTTTAAAGTTGTCATGTAACTACTATCAAACTTTTAATTTTAACCATTTTTTCTCATTCAATACGTTCCCTACGTATATAAACGTTTGTAATTTAATTTTGCAACGTCAGCTAAACAATTTCAACTCGGACATTGATGTCTCAGTCTCACGTTTATAAGTAGTCTTAAAGACCCGTCATCAGTGTGCATATTAGTCTCATCCTCATAACTAGTTAAATATATATAATTATCCTCATTTAAAATGTGTTTTAACTAAACATTAGTTACGAGTATATAAATCAACTTACCAGTTTAATTGATTGAATTATTAAAAAATAATACTGTATATAACATCAGATATTATTATTATTATTATTATAAAAATATTTAAAAGTGTTCTAAATTAATAAAAAATTATTTTACTCAATTTAAAATAACAACTTGAGATTAAAGTGATAGAGTAGTTTGGCTCACTCCTTTCTTTTCTTTAATTTTTATCTTTTTCAACTTTTTTAAATAATAAATAAAGTGTGTAAATTTGTAATAAATTAAAGAAAATATATAATTATTAAAAAGTATGATTAATCAAATGTTCCAAATTACTATTTTTTTCCAATTTTAAATTATTTTTTTAACAGTAACTTGTAAATTTTATAGTAAAAATACGTATTTTTTTATTGATGTGGAAATTTGATTTCTAATTTTATTTTTGGTTAAGTGAAAAATAAAATAAAAAAATAAAATTCGCTTAAGTTAATTCTAATTTTGAATATTCTACTCTTACGTTTTTCTCTCCCATGTTTAACGCTCTTTCTTTAATCTCTATATGTAATCACCATCCTTCTCTTTAATACTTAACTTCTCTCTTTTTCTTCCATCTCCTTCTTCTCTCACCCCATATCAAACTCTCATATTCCTTCCACTCTATATCTAATTCTCCTATTTCACTTTTTACTAGGGATGGAAATAGGTTAGGTTAGGTCAGACTTTACTTTAAACAGATATGGCTTGTAACATAGTTATTAGGCCTGTTACTTGTTAAAGACTTTATTTTCAGTCTGACCTGACCTATTTAAGTGGTCTGACTTGATTTGAAACTTGTTAACAAAACTTGTTAAAAAAATATTTTAATATTAATAAAAATATAAAAAATTTATTATAAAATTAGTTTACATATTTTTCTAATTTTCATCTATGTTATTAATAATTATTAAATAATTATAATAATATTTATATAATTTTATAAATATTTTTTAAAATATTATTTAAGCATCAATTATAAATATTTTATATTAATGAAATTTATATTTATATTTTTCTTGATTTATTTTTTAAAAATTATTTAAATATTAAAGATTTTAGTTTTATTTTAGAAACATATTTTGTTTGTTTAAAGACATCTTATATTCAACAAATAAAGTTATAATAAACACATAAAATTGATCAAAAAAATAACATTCACACAAGTTGTTGAATCAATTAAAAGAAAATTATTATATTTTTAAAAATAAATAAATTTAAACTTAATGTAATATATATATATATATATATATATATATATAGACAATAATAATTATTATTAAATTAAAAAAATAATTATAAAATATTTAATTTTATTTATTTCATTAATTTGTTATTTTAAATTAACAAATAAACATAAAATTAACTACACTATAATATTAATGTCATATGAAAAATATTACTGATACAATAAATTAAAATACATACTTGTATATTATATATAAATTGATAAATTAACTAATAATTTAATTAAAGTATATGCAAGTTACAAAAATATATATTATTATATAATTTATTTATAATTATATTATTTATATTATTTGCTACATGGTCTGATTATATATATATATATATATATATATATATTATAATAAATTTTTTATTTTATTTTTTTATCATTTTTTATAAATTTTTACTTTCAAATAAAATATAATTTATATTTAAGTAATTTTTATTTATTATAAATAAAAAATTATAACATAATATATTAATATAATAATTAAATACTAATAATAATAAAATTAAAATATAAAAGATATTTTAGTAAAATATTAATATTTATTTTTAAATTTTAGTTTGTTTAGTTATAATTGTGTCCTATTTTTGTTCAAAAACTTAGATGTTTTTCAGTTTATTTAAATATAACAAATGTAATAATTTATGATTAAATAATTTTTTTAAAAATATGTGTAATCGTGTATAAATATTTTTAATTTTGAATATAATATAAAATAATTATTCAAAATTTGATATATTTATATTTAGGTGTGTAGCTGTGTACTATGAACCTGGTATCTAAATTTTTTTATAGGTACTTTAGTCAAAAAAATTTATACCAATAAAGATAAAACACATAGTAAGTTATAAAAAATATATATTATTATACATAATTTATTTAAAATTATATA